GTGTGTGTGTGTGTGTGTGTGTGTGTGTGTAAATATATACTACATATTTTGAAAAGACAATATCGATAAAGCTGCAATCATGACGTAGTATTTGCCCACATCTTTTGTGGGTTTTAAGCTCACAGATCAACAAAAACACTTCTGGCTTATTAACCAGATTTACAAAACTCAATAATATTCAAACATTTGACGATTACCTGTAACTTGACCCTCAGAAATCTGTAATTTTTGTACATATGTGATATAAAGGTGTGCAGGGTGGGTTGGAGCAGAACTTGGGTGAAGACAAGAAGATGATAAATTTATTCCTACAGCCTTCCTGCTCTGACACTTAAATAAATTTGATGTAAAGTTTTTGATAAAATCTGTACGATTGCCCTACATGTCTGTCTTCATGCAAAATGGGGCGAAATCTGTGTAAATTAGGGGCAATCCATACAACTTGACATGTTTGTAAGCACTAACAACAATCTGTTTTAGTTAATTATTTTTCGTAAATTCACATTCATGTTGTCTGGCACCATCAGGAGGTGCTGCGGCACCCACAGCACCCAAACTTCCCATGACCAAGATTGCTGCCGCTTTAAAAAAAAAACACAGAAACCCCCCCAAAGTTTTGTATTAGCTCATCCAAACGTCCTTTTATAAACCTTTATGCCGCCGTCACTTTCACACGATGAACTCACTGTGGCAGAAATATGCTGGTATTCGTACAGGAAGTGCCCCGGGCTGCATGGGAAGTTCTAACAGCTAGCTGCTGCTTTAGAAGTTCATACCAGTGGTTTCTGAATTTTTGAGCTTCTGACGCACCAAAGAGCCGCGGCAGAGACTTAAAAACTAAACTGTCGCTTTTCAAAGAGTTAATGAGGGTTTAAGGAATGTTTTAAAAACTTTTCTATTTCATTTGTCCATTCATGAATACATTTTTTAAGTTTCAGAGGATATGTCACTAATATTTTAGGTTATTTAAAATCGCCTCAGCTCTCCCTAACATAGTGTTTCCTGACTCACAGGGAGATCTCAAATCCAGGCTTTTTTATAAACTGCAGAAATTTGCTTTTGACCCCTCTCTGACTAGCCTTTAGCTTGTCAGATGGTGGGATTTTAACCATATGTATAGATATTTCTTCCCGATAATGTTTTATCAGCAAGTTGAGCAGATGACTGCTGAACAAAGACGTCTAATAATTGTGCTTTTTTTATGCCTCTTGTCTTCACAGAGTTTCAATGCTCCCCCACGTTCTAAGATGAAGTTATGGAAAGGTGCTACTTTTGCCTTCGTGCTCTGCGCTGCAGCCCTGTCCACCGTCCTCATTAGAAACATGGCCACCATCCGACAGATCAAGCTGAAAACAAAACATCCCTCATCAAGACCGTCCTCGTCGTCAGAGTTCCCATCCACAGCTTCTTCGAAGGAACCCAGCGAGCCGACGGGAGGTCTTCATCGGAAGATCCGCTCCACAGGCAACAACGTGAACTTCCTCCTCTCAGACTGTAAGATAAACTGTTCTTCCTTCCATGTCTGTTTAGAGATACGGTGTCATGGGAAAGATTTCGCAGGGTTCACACAGAACACTTAAGAACCTGCCTCTGTTGTTTATAAAGCAGGCTTTAATGTCTTACAACAACTTTCAGTCAATTAACACCTCATAGGTCACTGACTCTCCATAGGGGCGCTATCATCTCTCAAAGTGGAGGACGTGTAGCTTTTTCTTTCCTCCTTGTTCCCCAGAACTCATCAACTAAATTACTTCTGTGGTATCAGATGCTTTCTGTCAAACCGGTGGCATTAAGAGCGCTTTACAGTCACCTAGATGTTGAAAAAATAAACTTTTGTTCTGCTGTTTGCTCACGGCTTCCATTGTCGTGACCATTGATCTATATTACTAGATTGGACATCACGTGACTTATCGTGTGCCGCACAGGTGCCATTGCTATGCATTGAGTTTTGACTCAGGAACATCCATGAATGGTGGTAAAAAGGGGATGCAGTAGACAGTCATGCAAGGAATATTAAAAAGGGATGCAATATTTTGCCAGAAATTGTCAACACCACAAGAAGATCAAGGTTATCACATTTTACAGGTCATTAAAATATTTTTTATTTTAAAAAATGTCGGAGATGCGGAAAGTAGGTCAGTTATGCTAGCTTGATTTTGACAACCTTGTCGGGTAAAGCAACGAAAAGACAAATTTCCTGTTCCAGCAAATTATTTTATTTTTCATTAGTATTGTTATTATGTTAGGATAACATTGTGAGAGGTAAATATAATGGACAACAGTAAAATTACCTTTACTACTACCAGGCTGAACTGTGTAGATATTACTGGTACTGATGTTATGTCCAGTCAGCACATAGTATATCCTGTTTGTGATTATATATCAGAGTAAAAAACTCCTTATCTTTTTTTTCCTCTACCGTACATTTCATAAGCTAAGTGGTGGAGGGGCCGACCAAATTTATTTTATGATCAGCTGGAGGAATTTGTCTTTAGTCACTTCAGTGCGAATGAAGAACCAGGAAACAAATGCAAAATTAGAATTATTTATATATGACACACATGACTCTTAGTTTTATGTGACGGAAAGGGGCTTCTACTGTAAATACATTAGCAAAAACCTATAATGAAAAGTTCCCAGACTGCTTATAGATTTATCTCTTGAGCAAATACATATTTTTTACATATCACAACATCGGCAATGTTCTCAGTTTTAATTTAAGCCATTTTTCATAGAAATCGGATAAGAAATGAGGGTGCTGTGAATATTTTTATGACAGATTGACGCCCATCCCGCATTGAAACCCTACTGTTTTGTTGACATGAATCAATGCATAGCAATGGCTCCTATGACGGTGCATCGCTAGCTATAGCGGCTATAGGCAATGTCCAATCCAGTAATATAGATCAATGGTTGCGCCAACTATCACTCTCAGCCATCTCTTCTCCTGAATTTTGTGAACGCTAATCTCTAAATCACCAGGAAACCTGCTGATCTGTCGCTCTGTCACTTGTCAATAATGATTCTGTTGATCTTTTCTGCCCTCTTTCAGTCTCTGCCATGTTCCAGAGCTTCACGGAGGGTGAGCTTCAGCAAATGCTTGGTACTTTAATTGAAAGGAAGCGAAAGAGGGACCATACCTTCGGGGACAACAAGTCCAGAAGGACTAAAAGAGCCCACAAATCTAAGCCCTGTTCTCTGAGGAGGCTGGAGCTGACTGTGACTGAGCTGGATCTTGGCCACAAGAGTGACGAGACAGTAATACTGCAATACTGCAGCGGCAAATGTGACGCCCACCGGCAGAACTATGACCTCGCCATGGGTAAGATATTTGGGAAGAACTCTACGAAGAAAAGTCGCCGGAAGAAAGTCAGCAGCATGCCCTGCTGCCGCCCGACCGCACTCGAGGGCATTTCGTTCTTCGTAGAACACAACGGGTTTCACACGTTACGTAATATCTCTGCAAAGAAATGTGGGTGTGTATGACCCAAATGAATGGACTTCAAACTTCGTCACGCTGCTCCAAGCTTCTGTCTGAGGGGTCAAACATGGACATTGTTAAAAGACGAGCAATGGATTATAATGTCCACGAGAAGAGGAGGAAACAGGAACCTCCTGGGACACACGGACTTTAACGTTTGGGCGTCTGTCACCGTCAGCTGGAGGCAAATCACAGAAACATTTCTGTGTTTGGATTCCACGTGAAATGGAAAAGAAAATGAAAATTGCTCCAATGACAACAAAGTTTTTATCTTTTCTATCTGTGTAGTAACACTGTAAATGATGGCGTAACAACAATTTAGCAGCATATTGTTTGTGTGGTTTTTGGTAGCTGTACGCAACAATGAGCCAGGGTGGACCAGATCATCGCCGTTACCGCACCTCATCCAATCTTTTCTCCAAATCCCATGGTTTACCAAGTCATCGCGACGAAAATGGCAAACGAGTCAAATTAACTTCAAATATGAAATGTGCCCAGGAAGCATGTTGAGTTTAAAATTTGGAAAATGTTGCTTCTTCTGGGTATTTTTATGTCATGTTTACCTGCTTATATGCATTAATATTATTTATTTTTGACTCCAATATTATTAGAAACATAAAAGAAGAGCAGAAGTGTTGATAGGCATACATGTCAACTCATACAGATGGTCTGTAAATTACGTAGATTTTCCCTCATTTTGCTAGCCTGCCCATTGCCTTCCTAGGCAGCTCCGCTCGACTCTAATCTCCCTTCTCTGCTCTGTCTTGGATTTCTCCCATAGAGATTTCTCCAGTAGAATTTCAACGGGGCCAATCAGCGGACAGAAGAAGTTGTGAATGATGATGATTTTTCTGTGCTGTTTTAGTCTGCCTGTAGTTTAGCAATGGCAGCGGAGGAAGTGAATGAAGCCATACCTTGCAGCCCTCATTTAGCCATCTCGTTCCTCTCGGTACTTCTCTCTTCACAGTGGGGGATGGTTGTTTACAGAGCACGCAATTTCTGGTTAACTTCTTAGCTTAGCTTCCATCACGGTCAAGTTGGCGCACTACATACGTCACGGCCTAACATATTTGGGTAAAATCAGATCCATCCGTTTCAAACTTCAGCAGATTCCATGCCTTCAGCTGAGAGTCCAGACCCTCTGTCTGAACAAAGCATAGAACAAGAGGCTCGTTTTTACCAGGCTACCATTTTGCAGGTTTATGGACGTCTGGAGAAACCTCATTGATTTTTTTGTTTCAAATCTCATAGATTTTTTTCAAAAACTCAGCTTCACATGGTCTCTGAGCCTGTAGGATGAAAATAAACAAATAAATTTAACTACCTCCCGACCGCTCTGCAGCAACAGTGTCATGTCACAAAATCAAAGCTTGAGTCAAGTCTCTGACTTCATCCAGCTTCTACTATGTCAGAGTACTATGGATATTTTGTCAAAATGACAGATTTTTGGAGGTCAGTAGAGGTAAACATCCTAAGGGGTTGACATGTATGCTTCAGGTAAAACACCCGTCTTAAATAACTGCATTGCATTGATTATTTTTTGAGTAATTTATAAGATTAAGAGAAAATGTCCCCATATATTTTCCATGCAACACTCTCTTCTTCCTTTTTTTTGTACCTTCCTTAAATAACTCCAGCTTATAATCACCCCCATCTGGAATTATTTTTCCTCCAGAATTTGCCAAAAACACACCAGATCAAGTCAACAGGCGACGATTTTACAAAGTCCCCATCATAAACATCACTCGTCTCGCATTCCAGGTGCTTCTCTGAGTGTAATTTGTGAAAGTTTATTCTCACGTCGGGTTTTCAGCTGATTGCAAAACGGAGTGGAGAAGAGAGGAATGGCTCTGGTGAAAAGTAGTGGCATGTTTTCTTTTTTTCCCCCTCTGAAGTAGGCGCTTGGATCCGAGGTTGCGTTTGAACCCATCTGTAAAAGGTTTTCTTACCCATAACCCCACAGTGCAGCCTCTCGACTGGCCCCGAACATGCCTCTGTGTTGTGTTGCCTGGTAGACTTTCAGGAGACTCATAAGCTGTTGACATGAATCATGAAGCATCTTTTACACCCTCACTCGTCCTGTTTTTGGTTTGAACTTAACTGTAACTGCCTGACGTCCAGCTAATTGTACATATATTTGTGTTGTTTTATTTTTCTTGAGAAGGAAAAGAGGGGTGCGGATGCAGTGCATCTTTGTTGTACGTAGTTTATATTGTATTTATTTGGGAAATAAATTATAGATTTTCATATTTATTTAGATTACTACACGTAAACGGGACAGCTTTTTATCATCAAGCAACTGTGCCAAAAAATGTTTTATCTAACACTCTATACTGACTGCTGAATAAATATCCTTTCAGAGGTGTGGAGCTTCGTCTTTTGTGAGTGTTCAGGTGTTTCAAAACGAGCAATAAAGAAGCTCTAATAAAAAGTGACGTCATGCGCAACAAGAAGCTGGTATCTGGGCTGAAAGTCGAGCTTGAGTTGCCGCTGGAGTTCAGATTTCAGTAAATAAACCATGAAGCAGATTCAAAGCAGGGCAGCGCCGTCATGCCACTAAATCATCCCGTAAGATTCACTTTCAGAAATCGTTTGTTTTCCACAGCCGTGTCAGCAGCCAACCCTGCCAACAACACTGGTGGCAGAGGCTCAAACCACGAGAGGCCGGCCCGGTTGCGTAACAATCAGCCCTCTCGGGGATGTGGACTGTCATCAGGAATCTGCAACAGACCAGAAAATCTTTATCTCAGTGCTCAAAAATGTGGTTGTAATTGTGTCAACAAATCTCATAAGAATATCTAAACCAAGTGTGAAAAGGATTCAACTAAGGTGTTCAAGAACTCAAACCCTTACCTTTCTACAAAAAACTTCAGTTTAATAAGAAAAACTAATCACATGAACCAATGACAGTGAATTTGTTGCTGTTGTATTAACTCCTGCTGCCAGAAATAGCCCTTGAAGGGAACAGATCATGAAAATCCACATTTTTTTAGCTGTTAAATACATTTTGTTGTGCACTCCTTGTCTCTAAGAGTGCAGAAAATTTGAATTTAGTCACTCTAGGTTAGGGCTGCAGGATATTATGAAAACCTGCGATGTGCCATAACAGTGCTTAATAATGCAATGATGATATGACTTGCGATAAATGAAAACTACACATGCAGAGATCTTTCTACTCTGGGTTCAAAGACAAAAAAAACCTTTAAAAAAATAATGATTTCCATTCCAGCCTGATATTTTTTTTAACTGAAAAGACCTATCCATTTGACCAAATACATGAAGGGCTCCATTTGATTGGTGAAATACTTCAAGCTTCCATCTGAATGACAAAATGCATAAATGCAAACTTTTGAGTCAACCATTTATTGCAATTTACGCAGTTATTGCGATATGCATATTGCACAGGCTATTATCGCGATGACTATAAATTTTTGATATATTGTGCAGCCCTACTCTAGGTGCTGCATAGATATTTTTATCTGTCTGTGCCGTTATATAGTCGGAACCTCTATTGAACTAGAATGGTAGAATAGACCGCTCTGATAGCTGCAGGGGGCAGGGTGTGAAGCAACTCGTTTGGATTTGAAGAGACAGCATCAAAACGAGTTGATCTGAGACACACTTCAGAAAAGGGGTGAAAATGGGCTTGTGGAGTTACAATAAAGAGGAATTCAGACCAAAGTGTTGCATTTCCAATTTACAGCAAGCAAAACAAGTATTGAACACGTCAACATTTTTCTCAGTAAATATATTACTAGAGGTGCTAATGACATGAAATTTTCACCAGATGTCGGTAACAACCCAAG